ATTCCCGAGATTTTCAAGTTACCTTTGTTGGCTGTCAAAATGTTTACTATTTCTATTGTAACAAAAGAAGTTTGGGAGGCTGTTTCTATTTCTATTTAATATCGTTAAATGTCTTAAGAACTAACATCTTGTTGACAAACACTTTGTAACTCTAATGCTGAATCTAATAATGCAAGTAGCAGGCAATTTTTTATCATAATAAGCCTTTAAAATATCCAAAGCCATAGTATAATTGTCATCAGAGATATTTAAATCACAGATAAGCGAAAGATGTTCGTCTTTCAGAAAAGATTTCGAATACACAAATTTTTGAGACTTCCCCAGCATTCCATCACGGTAGCTGTAAATAAATCAATGAATGTACGCCATTCTCCATAGTTTTCGCTGAAACATGGAATATTCATACTTGGGAGTTTCACCTTAAGACTCTTGGATAGTTCCTGAATTTTGTTAACTACTGTCTGACTGTCCTAGAGATGGTCTACTGCTTGAAATCGTCGGATTTTGAATCAAATTTTTCATTTTGCTATGCAGAGAGATATATTTAGTTTCGATTGCTTCCCTATCCTCATTTTGAAGAGTAACCTGTTCTAAATCATTTTCGTCGATGGAGTTTTCAATTTCCCCTTGACAATTTTCATATTCAGAGCCTTTACCAAGAGAGATTCTCGTATAATCAATTCGTTAACATTAACAATATCATCAGCTGAAAGAGAATTTACAAAGGTTTCGATTCTAGTTATAACGGCTTCATAGTGAGACCTGGTCTTTTAACTGTCTGCATTCATCTTTACAAATGCAATAACATTTTTCTTAATGGAGAGAAACAGAGACGGAATCCTAAATTCACAAAATAAATCAAGTATAACTATAATGTAAACCTAAAAATATTCCTTACTAAACGAGAAATTTCAAGATGAAAGTAAAGTTTATAAAAATGGTTGGATTTTTAAATTGAATGTCTTTAGCAATTCCCTGGTAACCTTGTTTTCTTCTATGAGAGTAACGGTTGAAGTAATGAAACGTATATGGTATATTGAAATATGGAATGGGAGTGTGTCTACAAACATTCAGCATAAAGAAATATATTTTTATCATACAAAGGATTCCATTATCGTAATTGAATTCAAGTTGAACTTACTTGATATTTAGTTGTTCTACAACACAGACCTGACCAAATCGACTTAAGGCTTTTGTTTGCGATTTTCCGATGACTCACAGCGTTCTGGAAAAGGGTGAAGTCGTTAGTATGTACACCGATGCCATGTGCCTTTACAAAATTAATGAATATTGCATTTTTTAATATTAAAATCTTATAACAAACCGTTTTAAATTACCTTGAGAATAAATGTTGAACAAGCAAACACTTTGATTCAAATACTTTTCGAACTGAGAATTCACTAAAACGAAACGGTTACTTCCTTTCAGTTTGAATTACAATAAAATCTCGACTTGAAAGACAAATCTGCTTCAATGACCAATGAGAACAAGAATTTTACATCTCTCCCACTTCTAGAAAGAAATGGTAGAAAAAACATGTTATAGCTTTTACTCATTCGCCAATCAGACAACGACCTTTATCACATGACATTGCAATGAAACGATTTTTAGCGAAATGCTGTTGAGTGGATGAGAGTAACCGAATTTTCAGCCGCCATAGCGACCATCGAAATTA